AGTTTATTATTTTTATATTTATTTTCTTCTTCATCTTTAACTTCATATCAAAATTGAAAATGTTTTAGGTGACCCTTGTTAATTTTTCTCTACACACCCTTTACCGAACTAAGCCACGTAACTTTATTGCTTAATTACTTTAAATTATTATTGTCACAAAGCATTTGACATTCATTTTTATTTATTTTCTTCTTCATCTTTAACTTCATATCAAAATTGAAAATGTTTTAGGTGACCCTTGTTAATTTTTCTCTACACACCCTTTACCGAACTAAGCCACGTAACTTTATTGCTTAATTACTTTAAATTATTATTGTCACAAAGCATTTGACATTCATTTTAATTCAATTTCCATTCCGACTCTATTCAATTTTTAGTTTACGTCGGTTTTCGATGTGGATCCGAATATTCGAAAAGCCAAATTCTCGCAGCGACCGGAGAAAAGAAAACCACAAGGCAAAATGGAAAAGGATAAAAAGGAAACGAGGGTGCCAGAAGTATTTCGATATTTTGGCAGTATTCAAAGAGTGAGGAACCCAAATATATGTATATAAAATATTATCTTAGTTAATCTTTATTTTGATGGCAGGTAAAGGAGCCGAGAGCGAAACCAGGTGCAATTATCGCCACCTGCAACGCGTGCGGCACACGCATCAGAGGCTTCCTCACAGTCACCTCCAACTTCATCAAACATTTGCGTGTGAAGCATGTGAAAATTCACGCTGCCTTCATTGGCTCGAAGTACGCCATAGAAGAGGCCGCAACGGAGGAGGAGCAAAGCGATTCGTTTGAGCAGCGCGTCATGTGCTATATAATAGATAATGCCCTGCCCCTGGCAACTGTGGAGTCTCCCAGTTTCCTCAATCTCTTCAAGAATACCAATTTACGTGTGATGAATCAGGCGAGACTGAAGAGTCGCTTGGATGAGCGCTTTCTGCAAATGTCTAACAGTATTAAACAGCTGCTGGAGAGCCAGAAATACGTTTGCATTACGACAAACATCCGCTCAAATAGCAGCGAGTACAACTATTTCGTTTATAGTTGTCATTGGCTGGACGAGAAGTTTCAGAGGCATTCAGCTGCCCTGGCCTGCAGGCGTTTCTCTGGGGATTACGCTCAGGTATTGGAGACGATACGCAAAATTAACAATGTGTACGGATTTAATAATCTAAAAATTGTGGGATCTATCACAAATAATGATAGAAATTACTCAAAAGCCTTTCAAGAATTCGGCATAGATTTGAAAAAGGAAATAAATACAGAAGACCATACCAATGTCGATGACCTAAAGGAACTCATCTGCGAGGCCTTACCAAATCGAATGGAATGTGCAAGCGAAATACTAAATATTGTAGCCTCTACTGATTTCTTGAAATTGCTGTCCAAGGATAAGAACCTAAAGGAACGACACTTGAAGGTAAGCAAGAATAAAATCCAATAAGAACTCTTTTCATGCCCTTCTCTCTCTTCTAGATCATGGCCAAATGTAGTGCACTGTGGCGCAAATGCTTTTGCTCCCCATCGGCTCAGATCATTGCCGCCCTCTTGGGTGAGGCTTTAGTGTGTCCCGCTAGAAATCGTTGGTTTTCCATATACGATAGCATTTGCTGCATTCTGTTGCACAAGGATAAACTTGGCGAGCTTTGCAGTCGGCTGGCTTTGCATAACTCCTGTTTCTCTGCCAGTGATTTGCAATATCTCGAGGAATATCGCATCCTAATGTCACCCATAGCAACGACAGTCGAGTTTTTGCGCATGGAGAGCAACTTATATTATGGCTGTCTAATTCCCGCCTTGACTTCGCTTTGCGTTAAACTGAAGAGAGTCTCAGATGTCTTGGAACTGATCGACCTGAAGAATTTGGCCTTTGAGCTACAAGTGGAACTGAAGCAGCGATTCTCCAACTATATTCAGCTGGCTGCAGAGGCAAATCATGCAATTATTGCATCTGTTCTGTGTCCTGGCATCAAAATGCGTTGGCTTAATGTCTTGGCCAAGCTTTCGGCCCATGAACAGCGCAGCGCGAGGGAAATACAAGAAATGGTAATTGCAGAAGCTGTGCGGCATGCGAAGGCTACAGAGAATGTTGGCCAAAGTGCTGCCATGGAATCGGCTTATACAACGGGCAAGGATGACTTCTATGAATTCGATGAAATGGGTAAAGTTAAATTATATATTTTAGAAATATAATAATTAAGATATTCTTTTATTGAGCAGATGATGCGTGTGAGACAAGTGATTTGGATATGTCGCAGCCCTCGCCTCTGCCAGCTGCCACGAAATTAATAGAGGATGCCGAAGCACAGCTTCTGGACTATCTAAAAGATCCATGCACCTCATTCGAGACGCTGGCCAAGTATCCTCTATTGCAACCCCTGGCACTCAAATATAACACGCCCCTAACATCGGCAAATGAAGGAGGACTAACACAATCGCATATTAACAGAAATGATCAAATAACGGATCTAGCCGATTATTCAGTAGAAAAACTTATCTTACTAAAGGCAAATTATAATAATAATTATTAAATAATGGACAATTACTGTTCTTGTTCAAGTAAGAAACTCAAAAAAGAGTTGGAAGAAATGTACTTCAATTCCAGTTCAAAGATTCCTTCCAATTAGAATTCTAATTATAGTAAAAGGTTTGCCTGCAATTCCAATCAAGGGAATAATACAGATAAGCATTCCAATTTAAATTTTCTAGAACAGTTTTTCTTCTGAAAGCTTTTCGAAAACTACATTTTTACTAAATATATATATTTTATTTAAAACTGAAAAAGCCATCAAAAAAACTTCCAATCAAACAAATTTCGGAGATTTCAAAGCAAATTGTCATTCACAATTGTGCATCGTAACGATTAATGCCATTCGCAGCGATAGAGCGCCCCAACCATATTCAGAGTAGTATTTGCACGCTTTCAAGTTGTAAATAAAACCTGGAGTAAATGCCGAAATCATAATTTTAAAGGAAAGGACTGAAAATGCCGAAGCAAATCTTAACTGCCAGCAGCGCCAAGAAGAATGTTAAAGACAATAAGGATGCTTTAAAAGATGAAGCGCACCAAAAAGCTGTCAATGCGGGCGCACAGTCGCAGTTAAAAATTGAAGTGAATTTAAATGAAATGACAAAGAAGGCACGGAAACGTCTACGAAACGCAATTGCCAAGGAAACGTCGGAAGTGAACAGACGCAAGTTAGCTGCAGCAAAAGCGCCGAAGAAATCAAAGAAGAGATCCAAAACAGCTGCAGCTGCAGCAGTGGCTCCAACAACCACAGCAATTGCCACAACAACAAAGACTTCGCCAAACACCAATTCCAATTCGAATCTGAATATAAAGGCACCTTCCAATGTTCCAAGTTCCAAACCGAATTCTAGCAAAAGCTCAAACTCCAATGCTGGCAATAGTCAAGTGCAGCTTGGCTTCATAGCATCGAAGAGATCGGCTCCGCTCACTGGGAAACAGATGGCCCGACTGCAGGAGGCCATATTGGATGTAACTGTAAGTAACAAAACAAATTTGCGCCCACAATACGACGACTGCATACCTCAGTCGGAGTGGCTGCTGCTGGTGTGCGCCAATAAGAAGACCGCGAACTGGATTAAAGACCATTTCAATTTGATACGCAAGCGAAGCAGACTGGAAATCGATTTGCTGGAGGAGAATCAGATACCACGCCATGTTATTGAAGGCTACTTCCCCAATAGTACGCATCTGCCGGACGATAAGATTCTGGCATTGATAAATGCACAAAATCCTATTCAAACACAACAATGGAGAATTTTACGTCGCTCTGCGAATGGCAGCACACTGCACTTATCGATAGCTATCGATGGCAACTCAAAACAAACGCTCGTTGCGCGGGGCGGCAATATTTGTTATTGCTTTGGCCGCATCTGTTTAAATCTTAACAACTATACAGCTGATGTCACCTGTACGAGTGTGCACTCGATGCAGCATCAGCTGAATGAAAGTAAATTGGATTTGTACAATCAAGTGTCTGGCAGTGAGTGGAACTTAATTATGGACCAATTAGATTCGGTCTTTGATGGCGTAAATAATGTGCGCACTCCCAATAACAGCATTTCCGAATGGAATGCGCAATTCAACTGTGAATTCAATTGACAGCTGTAAGAAGCTTGAGTCACGTAAGTTAACAATTTTTTACTTTATTTTGTTAATTAATATAGTTTAATTTTAGAAAACTGTATGCAAACAACGGTTATGGGAGGACTCGAAGTCATTTTTAGTAAAATCGTTAAGTTTAAAAATATTTAAAAAGAAAAATAACAGTGGTATAAAAATGAAGTATAAATTGACAAATTAATTTACCATTGTACATTGATTAGTGAAATTCCGTTACGTTATTATTAATATTTCTTTCTATTGTTTATAGAATGATTCTATTTGTTTTGATATTGAAATCAATTTTACTTTAATTGAACTTATAAATATCTTTAAAAAATTTGTATTAAAAAAAAAAAAAAAAAAGAAATTAAAATGGTAGCATTCCGGTCTGATGTCATTTTGATAGATTTTTAAGGTTCTCAGCGAATGGCTAAAATATTGTGAACGAATAGAACTCGTCAGAAAGTGAATAAATTCTGACAGTGCGAAAAGCAAAGTCAGCAAAGTTATATCTACAGCAGAGAGCCAGAAATTTAGCTTATTTCCGAATAATAATATTAAAA